CTTATCATCCCGCGGATGTCGCAAGAGGCGATAGAGGGAAATTAAACCGGAGATGAACAGCAGTATCTTCCTTTTCAATTTCAAACTGAAAATGATAAAAAGTCGGGACTTTGATTTTTATTGTTCTATAGACTATTCCTTAGCACTTACTTCCAGAATGTGAAATTACTTTACTCTTTTAATTGGACTAAGGAATATCACAATCTCAGTGTCACCTAAATAGTTACATAAAAAAATTGGTTGTCTGTAAAGTCGGTTAACAGATAATAGTTTAACGTGACAATGACAACAAAACATTGATGAAATGATTGCATACTTTGTGGAAGAGAGATAGATGCGGCGCAAGCCGAACACTCAAGCCGATCGCGCCTTTCGCTCGCTCGTGCAACTTTCTCGCTCCGATCCTAACGTAACAATGAGCGTAACGTTACAATGAGTATCCTTTTTCGTGCGTGCAGCCGGCGTTCATCGATTTATTAGACGTTGTTACGTCAAAAATTCATCCCTTGTTTTGCCACCCTTAATGGTGAAATTTTTTCTCCAAATTTATATAGATCCCCCACTGAAGTATAATCTAGTTAATATAAAAAAAGGATATTCAAATCGGGTCTAAATTACAAAAACAAGAAAAATACGATTAAATAAAACTAGTTTTTATGAATTTTATTATGTATATTAACTTATTTTATATTCGCGACGATTCGAGCACTTTACAGCACTCATGATACGCGATACGCGATAAAATCCGTAAAAACTAGTTTTATTTAAATGTGTAGTGTTCGCGTAAATATAAGAAATCGTTAAAGAAAATACGGTCGTATTGTCATCCTCCTCCTTTTTTAAAGTCGGGTAAAAACAAATAAGCTAATCTGCCAAGCGTGGCAACTATGATAAAAGCTATTGGGGAATCTAATGTTCCGCAGTGAACTTTTGATAAATTGTAATCAATGAAATGCATGAAAAAACTAGGTAATTAAAGTAATCAGGTATGTGCACGATACTGTATCTTAATTAACCTTTCTAAACCCTATCCATTATTATTTAAATTTTATTTTAATTGCTCAGATATTATAAGGGAAAAATGACGCAAGCGTACATCGGGCGGCTACGAATCAGTGCTTTACTTCCTTGTGGGCAATACGCACACTGAGCTTTGCTTGACCACAAATTGTGGCTGGTAAATGTATGCTAAATTAAAAAAAATGTATTGAAATTCTGTCTTGATGTTCACATAGAATATGTTCGACGCTCTCACAGAATAAAACCGTAAAAGCAGCTCAATGCTACTTTTGTAGTGTTTCTTATGGTGAGTGTAGAGAATCGGAGATCCTATTCATTGGTAACAAAGCATTCAATCTTAATCCTCAGGGTACTGTACGTTAAACATCGATAGTTTGGTAATCCGATAGTATCGATAGTTTAACTAAAAACTATCGATAGTATCGATAGTCTATCGATAGTTTAAAAACTTGTAGGATTAGCGTAACATCAATAAAATAACAAATGTTATACGAAACGTAGAATTTTATTTTGATATATATATATTCGAAATAACAATCAAACAATCAAAAATCAGTATTCATCATTATTATAGTTAGAAATCAATCATTAAAATAACAGCTATTTTGTTTTATAAACAACAATTCATTTAATCTTTTTTCTTTTAACCTATTTCTGCGTTCGGTTAAAATTTGTCCGGCCTTCGAAAATATTCGTTCTGAAGGCACAGAAGATGCTGGAATACAGAGATAGAGCATCGCTAATTCCTTCAATTTATTGTTGGTGTATTTCCAGTATGTTATAGGACACTCTTTTCTGTCAATTACTGGCTTCTCGAGATATTGCCTGACATCTACCAATGAGTTACTCAACGGGGTCGATACGTCCGGAACGTCTAGAAATCCCAACAGGTCATTAGATGTTCCTGAAGACGTGGATGGTGTTGGTTGCGTTTCTTCTACAGCCAAGCGTTCTTTAGTTAAATGGCTAGCATAGGCCTTTTCCAGCCACTGACCAGCTCGCTTCTCGTCGTCACTTGTTTTGAACCCCTTCTTCTTAAATCTGGGGTCCAATATTGTAGCAAGTACAACAGGTGTCCTGCTTTCATAGGGACTTAGTCTTTTGTCAACTGATCCCTTCATGCAGAGTAATATTTTGTTTCCGCTTTCAGTAACAATTTGAGATTCAACTTCTACTAATTTCGTTTTTATTCCACGAATCAATGGTATTATCAGTGACAATGTTATATAGCTTTCTCCGGAAATTTTTGTTGTAGCTAGATCGAAAGGTTCCAGAATTTGAATTGTTTCTTGAATAATTAGGTATTCGTCAGCATTGACTCCTGGTGGAGCCCGATTACATTCATTAAGTGCGAGAGTTAATTCTGTCTTCATTGTAACAATTCTTTGCAGCATGTGGTATGCACTGTTCCAGCGGGTGGGTACTTCCTGGATCACTTTCAGTTCTGGTTTATTTAATTCACGTTGAATAGCCCGTAATTTATCGCTAGCTAGAGTACTCATCTTGAAAAAAGTCACAATCGATTTACATTTTTTCAGAATCTGGTCTAAGCAGGTCACAGCAAACGAATCACTTACCGTCAGGTTTAGTGTGTGCGCAAAGCAGGGTATATGTCGTATATGCAGTTTGGCTGCGGCGTTAATCATTGTTTGAGCGTTATCAGTCGTTATTGCTTCACATTTTGACCTGATATCCCATTTTGAGAGAGTAGCATCCAACATCTGAAAACAATAATAATATTGTTTATGTCTGATTATAAAGAAACACTGAATTGGTAGGTATCAAGGCAATAAAATTTAAAAATACTTACACTGGCTATATTTTCTGCGTTATGACTTCCTTCCATCTTCACAACTTCCAATAATGGTGCAATTAATTTTTCGTTGTGAAAGAAATGACAAGTAACTGAAAGGATGCCTTCATTTGCAATTGATGTCCATAAGTCAGTAGTCACACTAACATGTTCTGCTTTCGATAATGCTATGACGAGCTTCTGTTTCACGTTTTCATAATATTCCGGCAGTAATTTCTTTTTCAATATTGTTGTATCAGGAATTTCATATCTACTATCGAGAGCATTTACAAAATCCCGAAATCCTTCATGTTCTCCTTTTCGCAAAGGTTCCATGTCAACAGCAATCATGCGCACGTATTTGTTATCCAAATTTTGCTTTGTTTTCCCATCTGGATATTTACTACTTCTATCAAAATAATTTTTTAGCGTATTTCTCTTTTTAGGGCTTGGGCCCATTTTCTCATTTTGCTCAGTGGTATCTACGTCTTGAGTAACAGAAACAGTGGATGACCACATCCATACCTCATTATGTTTTCTCTTCATATGATCGATCAAGTTCGTAGTATTTCCACTTAGTTTAAACTCTCTTTTACACAAAGAACACTTGGCAAACTTTTCATTAGTCTTTTTGAAGTAATCCCACGCACGTGACTTACTACTCATGTTTTATTGTTTAATTCTAAATTGTTTGTTACTCCACTCAACTTCAAACATCCACAATAAAAAACTGACTGACTGACTTTTGTCTTGTAAATGAATGATATACGCACGGTAATTCCCCAACCATAGAGAAGAATCTCAATGTCTACGCCTTTGAATGTATGATATACGCACGGTAATTCCCCTACCATAGAGAACAATCTCAATGTCTATACCTTTGTCACTATAGCCGGGGAATAACTTACATACATGCATACCTCGACTCTAGGGATGTAAAAGTAGTACCCGAGTAAACAATCGATCGATAGTTTTAAAAACTATCGATAGTATCGATAGCCATTTACTATCGATACCATCGATAGTCTATCGATGTTTAACGTACACTACCTCAGGGTTGGCAACGCATCTGCATTTTGATTCTTAACCAATAGATGTCTATGGCCCACAGCATCCTTTCACCATCAGGTGAACTGTGTCCTTGTTTGTCACCCTTATATTATACTAGCTTGTCAGGTAGACGTTGTTCTGTCCTTTTCGACGACTCTTTGTCATGTCCTATTAAAAATCATTAAATTCGCAAAAAAAAAACTATCCTATCTCTCAAGTTGGACCAAACTGCATACGGTGTGCAAATTTGATTAAAATCGGTTAAGTAGTTTAGGATTCCATCGCGGACATATAACGTGACACGTAATTTATATATATTAAGATTTAAAAAAAATATCTTTTAAATATTAATATTTTTAGTTCGTTCGTTTCCCCGCTCGCCGAGCAAAGTGATTACTTTTGTACCGACTACATAAGGGAGTAGGTATTCAATTTTGTATGATTTTTTTATGTGTGTTACAACTTTTTTCTGGGTAAACCGATTTTGATGATTCTTTTATTATCTGAAAGTTGGTGCTTCTCATGTGGTGCTATATAAATTTGATCAAGATCTGACCAGTAGTTTTTGAATTATCCTTAAATAATGCGTATTGAATTGAAACTGACGACCAAAGTAAAGTGAAATGTACTAATGTAATGTTTGTTTGATTCCAAAAACATTTTATTTGCTATAATTGGAAAGAAATCTACAGAGCCTCAAAAAATAACACTATACAACTAGACAAAAACATATCGTTATACATCTAGATTTGACCCATAAATAAAATATACTTTTAGCAGTAAAATTATGAAAGATCTCTCAATTCGTAAATTGAAAGACATGGCATTACTTATTTCGTGCATTTTATTACAGTGGACACTGTGAGTACGAATTTTCGGTGTTTAACGAATGTTCGGTGATTTAGCCGAATATTCCGTAAAGCTGCCGAATATGAAACGAATATTCGGCCCATCTCTACACTACACCGTGCACACCGCCACAACACGCCGAACTATATATTAAAGTTTATTAAATCCCTTGTGTTGCAGGAAAAATGCAAAGCGTACTCTAGAGTTATGGTGGAGCGGGCTGCCACCTTCAATACGCGGCAAGGTATGGCAGCTGGCAATCGAGAACAAACTGAAGATCACGCCGGAAATGTACCTGGATTATGTCGCAAAAGCAAAGCAGAAGCTGCAAGAAGCGCAACAGAGAAGAAAGAGGTTAAAAGTAAACAATAGAGAGACCTGTGGGTGTCAGAATGTGGAAGGAAAGACTGACGAGGGGAAAGATGATCGTCTGTCGAATGACGACAAACAGAAATCTAAAACGGACGACAGTATAGAGGAAAAGCCTCGGCTTAGCATACCGAGGAATTACAGCGAGCAGAACCTGAAAACTCATAACGTTGATTCGGAACCTAAAAAGTGCTGTTCGAAATCGAACCCAAACCTGTTGGACTACAGTGATGAGTGCTCGATGGAACTTATTCAGTTGGATATAGCCCGGACGTTCCCACACCTGTGTATCTTTCAGCCCGGTGGACCGTACTTTGACGTTCTACACGAGTTGCTAGCTGCGTACGTTTGCTATAGACCGGATATTGGATATATACAGGTGAGCTAAAATATCACACCCGACAAATTACACTGTGCACAATATGTACATTACATTACTCAACTTCTACCGCATACGTTAATTATCTACATATTAATTATCCAAGACTTTCTTTTCAGGCTACTATATCTTTCTTTTAGCTATTGATAGTGTCGGGACACCTGGACGCACAATTATTATTTTGCTTTTACATATTTTATAATTTTTAGTGTTTTTTAAATAAATGTTTACTATTCAAAGAATAAAATATAATACTATTTTATTCTTATGGTTATTGCAATAGAATACAATTACAAATGATAAACAGAAGTTAGGTACCAAAGAACTTTTCACTACGGCGCTTAGTTTTAAAATGCCAAATTCTCCTGCGGGTGTAACCAACCTTTGAGGTCGCGGCGGCGCCTTCCAAGATGCGGAGATGCGACATATAGCCTTATCTAAGTGAACGGACTATACATACTAAGTTACGTTCAATTCTTCGTAATGCCTTTAGTCTACTGCGAGTGGTCGACTGGTCGAGAAGACTAGTTCTTTGTTTGCGAATGTTGTTTTCGACGATCTTACACTGATTTTGTTTAATGTGTGTAAGAAAATATTGTCATTATTTATGAGCGCACTGATTTGAAATTAATTTCATATAATAATGAATATGCCTAAAACAGTAACTGTGGTAAACGAAAATACAACTGCGCGGCATATTTACCGTGCCAGGCCGCGTTTTTCAGCTGTGACACATAATTTTTCTGAATTGCTGGTCTAGTAGTTTACGAAAGTCTTTGTTAATTATACATTTTTAATTATTTCTTGAGTAATATTGTTAGATTTTTTTAAACATTTACAAAACGTACCGTATATATTTTCATATGCATTTAGTGAGAAGTTGTTATTTTGACATTACAAAAAGACACTTCAATTTTATTTACTTATTTGTATAGATAGGTGATAAACGAGCACACGGTCTACCTGATGGTAAGTGGATGCTGTGATCCATAGAAGTCTTTATTTAACCTCGATTAAGAACCAAGATGCAGATGCGATGTCACCCCTGAGGACTAAGATGGAATGCTTAGATTCCAGTAAAACGGGTCACCGATTCTCTACACTCGCCATACGAAACAGCAGTATAAAGCTGCTATTTTAATAAGGTATTCTGAGAAAGCGTGGTACTAACCAGATCAAGTTGACCCATTCGTGCTACAACCATGGCTACAGCATGGCTCTACCACGTACAAAGACTGCTGATGAAGAAATGTTAATAACTTTTGAATTGGTGAATGCTTTCCAGGGCATGTCGTTCATCGCGGCGGTGTTGATTCTGAACATGGAGGCCCCGCAGGCCTTTGTGTGCTTCGCTAACTTGCTGGACGGCCCCGTTCTACGTGCAGCATTCACGAGGGATGGCGCCGCCATGCAGGTCAGTTGCAACCTGTGTCTCTACAGATAAAATATATAACAGGCAAAGCTGGGTCTCAGTAATAGTATCTATTCATATTCATTTATTGATAAAATATAAGCTTACAGTATATACAACCAAATCACTTATATCTATACTAAATTTACAAAGATAAAATACACAACAAAAAAAAAATCACCAATTATTAAATTTCCACACACATTATAAATTACAGCCACAACAGTATAATGAGATCTATTTACTATATCATAAATTAAACTTATTTACCTAAACATATACTATTCTACTATCTTACAAAGTTGTTTAAGAATATTAATACATTTTTATACATTGCGCTGGGTTTGTCAAAAAATATATCTGCGTCTGGATTGGCCCTGAGAAAACAGTTTATTAGTCTAACGGCTCTGGAAGTGGGACTGTTATCTGCGTGTGGGGAGCGCCACGTACGCGGACAGGAGAGGAGTCTACGTTTTCGTCTACCAAAACCTCGCACATAATGGTCCGGTACATAAAGATGTATGGTCTCATGAACTGCAGGATTATCTACTTTGTTACTTAAAAAGAAATAATAATGCATTATATGAATAAGTTCCCTCCTACACTGTAGGGTATCCAGACCAACAACAAAAAAAATCTAGTATCATCTATGTATTAAAATATGTAAAACAGTTCCAATCAATTAAAACATATGCTTTGATTTTGAGATGGTTGCATAATAAAATCCATAGTCTTATATCGCCTGATTGGGGTCGTTACATTCAACAAGGGATATTCATAAGCTGAATCTCTTGTTACATTGAAAATTATTTATTAGGTGGTAGGAGTTATGAGCCAGCAGTCCGTTTGTGTAGGCACCGCACTAAAGATGGTTAATATATCTTTTAACTGTTAAAATAAACAGTTACATAAAATTAACAAATTTATTAAATAAATAAAATTAACCTTATTGAATAAAATTATCAACACACGGTTGTTTGTGCCATCTAGCGTAATTTTTGCGTACCACCTTGAGTATGAATAAATTTTCGTTCGATAAAATGACTTCATCTATAGAATGAGGAGATGGCGCTATTAAAATTTTATATACTGTAGAAATGAAAGAAATATTCTTCAAAAACATCAATACATGTATTCTTTTGATTTAGTTAAAACTTAGGCTTCTCATTAAAAAAAGAATTGTAACAATTATTTGCTATAAAATTAAACTTATATCTCACTGTGGTTGAAAATTATCATATTATTAAATAACAAATCAATGCCGTTAAGTCATTTGAAGTGATATTTTTATTAAACCGTTCAAACTGATATTTTTAACGCATATGGGTAACGCTATTGGCTGAATACGTTAGTGGTTGATGTTAATTTTATGTATTTTGTTGTTACGCCATTGGCTAAAATATTGGTTGGTGTTAATTTAAACTGTTTAAACGAAGCGCGTCAGTTTATTATCATTTTATTTAGAGTTTATTTCTCCGGTAGGAGTGATTGAATTCTGTGGTTACTTTTTCATCAAAATATTACTAGGCTGTATAAAAAGCTGTAAAAATAAATACTAGGAAAGTTAATTCAGATTTAGTGAAATTAGTTATTACTTATATTATTTAGTGTAGTGTACAAAAATATAGGATTTTGGTTAGAGTTTAATTTTCACCTTTTATCATACGGAGACGTCATCACACACAGCTGTGGGACCACCTTGAAATATTTGTTATGTTTTTTACATTTAGTAAGTACTAAATACCTAATAATCATTGTAAATAATATAAAATTATTATAAATCATAATATAATATAATATAAGTATTGAAATAATTACACTGTGTGTGTGAGTATTAATCCTATACTATTAAACGAGCAATTCTTATATATATATATATATATATATATATATATATATATATATATATATATATATATATATAATCGGGATCTCGGAAACGGCTCCAACGATTTTCATAAAATTTATTGTAGGAAGTTTCGGGGATAATAAATCGATCTAGCTAGGATTTATTTTTAGAAAATGTCTTTTTGTCCGTGTTTTTAGGCAATGAAAAACTGCTACAATATCGTTAGAATAAGAAGGTAAATTTTGACGGATTATTAGTGACTATAAATAACTTAATTGGTATAATAGTCGGTCACAGAATCGTAAAACCCCGGTTCGAGCCCAGACCGACCTACTGACTTTTTTAACTTTTTTTCATGTTCCTTTCTTTTTTTGAGAAAATCTATTTTTTTCGAGCCCTTTTTTTAGTATTTTTTTAAAAACACGAAAATTTAAATTAAAATAATTGCACTCATGATTTTTTATTCATATAACCAGTTCCGTTTTTTCTATTATGTCGCTAAGATCAAAAAATATTATTTATATTTCATCAGTATTTAATTTGTATCTAAATATAATTTCCAAAACACAAGAATTAAAAAAAAATCGAGCGAAAAATACCGAGCAAAGCTCGGTCAACCAGGTACTTAGACTTTAATAATAAAAAAGAATCCAAGCATGAAGAAATGTTTTTTGAATTAAATTTCATGCGTAAAATAGCCATAAATTGAACACAAGCGATTAAAAATTAAAATGAACTACAAAAGTAATATTTTTAACTGTTAATTTTAGCTGTTAAAAAAATTTACAAATAACTTTTAACAAATAAATAAATTTAGCTATTAACGCCATGTCTACACCGCACTCTTAATTATTTCTACCTCAAAATAGCAATGCTTACACTGTTGTTCAATGGCCGGAAGGGTTTAGAGAGATTTCCATCTTAGTTCTCAGAGATGACAACTAGAGTTGGGCTGATTAGTATTTTGCATTGCCGCCGATTAATTGGTTAAGAAATGGCCGATTAATTAGTCCAGTCAATCCCTATCCGATGATAAATTCAAATGGTGGAACAAAAATTCTTCCAGATATCCAGAAATGTCCCTTTTAGCCAAAGTTTTCCTTTGCTGTCCCGCCAGCTCTGTGTATAGTGAGAGACTTTTTTCAGAGGCAGGGAATATCTAGTATCTACGAAAGAAAAAGAAATTGATTTCAACCAGAAAAGCTGAGATTTTTGCCTTTTCGCATCACAATTTGCCACTGGTTAAAAATAACAAGTAAATTAAATATTTTCTAAAAAGCCTTCAATACTTTTTCAAATTGAGTATTTCTTTTTAACAAATTATTAGATGATTATAGATTCTTTATTTAATAACATTACAGAAAAAAAAACAATTTATTGTAATTTTAAGTACAGAAAAATAACAATTTGATTCAATTTTTAGTACAAAAACAATAACAATTTAGTTTTATCTTTATATTAATTTAGTTATATTAATTTAGTTTTGTCTTTTAAAAATCTATATGCGTGTAGTTCAACAAACTTTATTGAAGAATTAATTTTTTTTGTTATGCAAAGGCAGAGATTTAAAATTTGTTTTTATTTTAAAGAATAATATTGTTACGAGCTTGAGGTTCGTGACAATAAAAGTTGCCGATAAAATTACCTAAATTAACACTTTAATTTACTTTACACAAATTAAAACTTAAAACACTAATAATTAAACACACTAATTCACTTAATTCCGCTCTGAAGCTTCGCTTGTGTCGCCGAGTTCAACTCTGCCCTATCGCATCTTGCAGCGCCTACTTATATAAATTAGCAAAATATCCAGAATGTTCAAGTAAACACGCGCAAGGTACCGAGAGTTCGAGTTTTAAACTTCAAGAAGTTTAGTTCTTCGGTTCGAGACTAGATGGCGCTAGTGCGCCGATTTTAGCGCGTAACAATATTATTAATATTTTATTTTGTTGTGTCACTACTCTGCATTACGATTAGAAAAAGTTAAAAAGTAGAATTAAAATAGTAAGTACTTAGGTTTTTGTTTAGTTTTAAATAGCTACCTCAGATTCTTTTTTTTACCAAAGTTCCTATGTCCAGAATTATTAATATTAAAACATATGAGACTGATTTTCAATAAAAGTCATGCATGAACCTACTTATTTTATTATTATATACTTATAAATCTGACGTGAGTTTACGCATGGGAGAGAAACTATACTTTTCTTAAATTTAAAGCTTTACTCATATCAATGTAGCCACAGTTACCACGCAGAAAATCACAAAAAATCTTTGCAGAAAAAAGCCGATTAATCGGCCGTTTTAGCCGATTAATCGCTGACTACAAATAGGCCGATTTCCTTTTCAAATACCTTTCTTTTTATAAAAACGATATCGCAAACGAACTTGATTAGATATCTACTCAGGTAGAGAGAAAAAAGTATTATAGTAATTGTTTGCGAAGCGGAACAATGTTCACTAATATGATCATTGGTTTCTAGAGAGTTTAACAATCGCCAATTGAAGAGCATTGTTACAAAGTATAGAAACGAGTGTTCAAGATCTAACTTACCTCGTGAACTGAATTTAAAAATAATGTACTAGAAATTCATAGAAAACCAAAAGTCTATTTCCGGAAAAACATGCTCTTTGTCTAAGATTTTGTTGAATACCAGCGTAAAATAGCAGCTTAATACTCTTGTGTTTCGTATGGTGAGTGTAGAGATCCCGAGACCCTGTTTTACTGAAAACGAGGCGTTCCATCGTAGTCCTAAGGGGTGACAACGCATCTACGTTTTGATTCTTAATCGAAGATAAATGTAGATGTCTGTGGGCCACAGCATCCACTTACCATCAGGTGGACTGTGTGTTCGTTTGTCACCCTTATTCTATAAAAAAAGTACAAGTCAGTACTTTATAAAAACTTTAATTTATTTGTTCAGCTTGCAAGGAGTTTTTAATTAAATATAAAAAGGATTTAGAGAAGAAGAACAACATTCGGACTGAATATGGCTTGCACAAGTTAAGGGATAAAAAGTTCTTGTTGGACCACAGCATCCACATTTATCTTTGATTAACCCTTTTCCTGTCCCGTGGATCATATATGAACATTTTAATTGTTTAACTATTGTGTCTGTTTCGAGGACAGGAAAACTGTTAAGAATCAAAACGCAGAAGCGTTGTCACCCCTGAAGACTAAGATAGAATGCTTCGTTTTCAGTAAAAAAGGGTCTCTGAATCTCTATACTCATCGTACGAAACACAGTAGTATTAAAGTTGCTATTTTACGCTGGTATTCTGTTAGAGCGTGGTTCTTCACCGGTCGAGCCGACCCATTCGTGCTACAACCGTAATATGGCTGTAGCGTGGCTCAACTACGTATAAAAATATAATCGCAGTTTTTACTTTTTCCTATCTTTTTAAGAACATCCGTGGTTTGGTTTATATGTTACTAATGTAATACATTTAAAAAATAACTAATATTTCAGAAAGAAACATAAATCTCTACACTTTTCAAACAAATTAACTTCTCTCGCTATGAAATCTTCAAGTATTCATCTTGTTCCTAAGTGAATTGACGATTTCTATACAGACGCACATTTGACGCTTTTGCCTGTGCCTCAATTGGGTGTTCCGATCAGATGATTATACCGACATCTATCGACAGCCTTAAGATCTTTCTAGTGTATCCCTAGTTGCCTCTTACTTACATCCACGGAAGAAAATCATATAATAATTTTAGAAAATTTTCGAATGCACAAACATATGCACGACAAAGTCGTCAAGAAGAATGTAGAAATATGTTTAAGACAAAATGGTTTGTGAAACAGCGGCTATGGAAGGCGTACGGGCGCCTGCTCAGGCACAACGTGCCCGCGCTGGCCGAGCTGGTGGCGCCGGAGCTGTACCTGGTGGAGTGGCTGTACACGGCCTTCGCCAAGGCCATGCCGCTGGACGCCGCCTGCCGCGTGTGGGACGTGTTCCTGCGCGACGGCGACACCTTCCTGTTCAACGCCGCGCTCGGTGAGCCCCCCCACCCCCCGCACACCTTATACACGCACGCATGCATATTACATAGTATGCCATTTTTTATGCAGAGTAAGAAAAGAAAGAAACAAACATTCAAAAAATGTTATGGAATGGTAATGCAATGAAGAAAAACTATACTGCACTAATATGAAATCAATGGCTTTACACGTCCTTAAAATTTACTTTATTTCTTAAATATGCATGTTCCCCCATCATCATTCTCTTCGACATCCACCATGTGCACGTGGTAAAACAGGATTAAAACTTAATTTATTTTTTAATTTTCATTTTTACTAGGTATTAAGAATCTTTTTCTGCCTACAATGCGGTCTAGATGGGTACCATACTCTATTTCTACATACATCTATTCTACATTACATACTCTATTTCTACATACATCTATTTCTATCGGCAAGCAACATTGCTTGCACTACCTGTGTTCAGGTTCTGAATATGGAAAGTCAGTATAATTACAGATTGTGAGGCATAGCTTCTTAGTCCTCAGAGATAACAACGCATTTGAAGTCTTCTTTTTTAAAATTGCTTACAGACGTCCATGGCAACAGTAATTTATCAGAAGTCCATGGCAACAGTAATTTATCAGAAGTCCATGGCAACAATAATTTATCAGAAGTCCATGGCAACAGTAATTTATCAGAAGTCCATGGCAACAGTAATTTATCAGAAGTCCATGTCAACAGTAATTTATCAGAATAAATGTAAGTTCATTTGTCACCCTCAATCTATTTGAAAAGAAATTCACATAGACAGCTACAAGAAGTAGCCCATAAACAACTATATAGTCGCAGGTAGGATACGCTTGATTACTTGTTGTTTACTTTATTAGTTCACAACTCTAATAGCCAGTCAATAAATATTGCAATCGTTTAAATAATATCATACAACGGTGATAGCGTATCCCTACTATCTATCAAAACGGAACCTAACAACAGTTTGAATGTGTAAGAATTATATAATTCAAATACTTTTATAATATAAAAATTAGTAAAACGCTGTTATAAATATTACTGATAGTTGAAGTAATTACAAATGTTTAGAAAATGAAAATGCTTATATAATACTCTTTGTAAATACCTCAAATTCTAAATTAAAAATAAACTGAAAAGATTATCTATGATAGTTATTAAGACAATACAATAACTAATAATCTATTTTATATTTGGTAATTAAAAAAATAATATAAAAGCAAAACGATAATTATACAAATACTATTTATAACGATTCATAATAGAAATTATGTAAAAATCACTGATAACAATATCTTTCCTCGATTAAAAACCAAAATGTAGATGCGTTGTTACCGCTGAAGACTAAGATGGAATGCCTCTTTTCCAGTAAAAAGGGCCTCCGGTTCTCTACGGTCACCATGCGAAACACACCATTAGCATTTAGCTGCTATTTTACGCTGGCGTTCTCAAAAAGCGTGGTCCTTCACTGGCCGTGCCGACCTATTCGTGCTAAAACTGTGATATAGTTTTATAAGACTCTTTTATTACATTAATTATACAGTTTCATTAAACTCCAGTGACTTCAAAAATAATGATGTGAGTCTTTTTAATGTTGTTTGATGAAATAACACCACTTTTTATATTTACAGGTATTCTTCATCTCTACCAGGACGAGCTCAAAGACATGGACTTTATATCCGCCGCCCAATTCCTCACGAAGCTGCCCGAGGATTTGGACCCAGAAGCGCTTTTTAAAAGCATCTCCTCCATCACGATGACGTTGGACGGCATGTCGTTCGAGGAGCTTGCTTCCTGCTGTGAACTGGAAACAACCCTCGATGATGACGTCACCGTTCGGTTATGATATATAGGACTTGGCTTAATATCTTGAATTTTGGGCTTCGTCTCAAAACGGGCTAGAAGGTGAAATATTCGAATTTATAAGTTTACATCCGATTAATAAATTAAATATATGGCTAAATACTCAAATGCTACTCAATGAGGGCATCCACGACTTTTTCTGTTACTAGGACGGTGCCAGTTTAAAATGAGGTGTAATATTTGACAGATTACATAGCGGGAAGTTAATTGCTTTGAAAAATGTAAAGGTTAATGTTTTTTTCTGTACTACATATATTTTATATTAATTAGATTAAAAATAAATAAACGAAACCACAAATATTCATAAGGTAGAATTTTTTAAAAACAGCTAAAAATGTGCAAAAAATTAAAGAGCATGTCACTAACGCATTGTTTTGTGTATTAATTTAATACTTAAGAAAATGTCATTGTGTAATGAAAAATTACTAGCGACATCTGGTGAGGGTGAGATTATTAGCTTTCATTTTTATGCCGTTAAGTGTCGTGGTGTCACTGTTACTTTAAGTTAAAGTGATAGAGACAGCACGAGACTTAACGGCAACTTAAAATTGAGCAGCGTTTGAGTATATGTACAATAAGGTGTTATTAAACATGCTAGAAATTTACAATTACCGTCGATTGGGGTGTTAAACTGGGAACTACCAAATTAAATGATAAATTTAACTTGGCCCTTATTAGTGATTATTAATAGTTAGATTATAACACAAGCTGAGCTTGTTTTTGAATCTGTTTAAATAAAATTTCGAAATGTTAAAACTTACTAAATTTTGAATATACTGGATGATTTAACGTCTGGAAAAAAATAGAGTGGAACAGGTGAACGGAATAAAAGGAAATATGAATAAATACCACTAATTTGAAATAAACTTTCGTTAATAAAAATAAAAACAAAAATTTTTAACTATATAAATAAATCAATTAAAAACTATCTAAATTAAAATGATACGCGCGCAATTAGTACTATTTATTAAAAGATCAATTTCATAATATGTTTATGTAAAAGCAAAAAAATTGTAAAATATCAGTGCCATAGGCTTCTATTCCCTTCACCTATTATATTTTTTCCAGACGGTAAAAAAATCATCCAGCGTAACGTTTCATTCTTTGTAAATATTTCATCTGATAACATTAAAATATTTTTACCAAATCTGAATCGTAATTCCTAAACTTCGCTATTTCATGTCTAATAACACATTAAAAATTTTAGCAACTGTCATCTCTATTTATTATAACTATTTTGTAACGAAATCAATATTTATTAACATATTTATAATCTTTTATATATCTTAATAATATAAACATTTGAAACGACATTTTCTTCTAAATTCCTTATCTCCATATTAAGCGAATGTTTTGCTAAAATTATGATGAAACCAATATCGTATGGATAAATTAACGTAACGACTAAACATTAAACCACTGCTATATACATCAATAATGTAATTCACACGTAATTTTAAAAGTGTGAGCAAGAGGTCCGATGATGTACAGTAGGCGCGTGAGTTGAATGTAGAGCTAAGCAATGACCTAATGCTGTGACCTAACCTGTAATTATAGTTAGTCATAGCAATAAATTTCCCAAACTAAAGAAGGCGGTTGTGTTATTTTAAAAACATATTAAATATTTATAAACATAATAAACGATAAAAATATAATAATAAATATAAACATAATTTTTTTGTTAAATTAGTTTTACTTCTATCAAAATATCGACTTACTTTTTTTTTACACAATCTTCCTTTTTAGAAGGCAAGCATAGAGGCCTTTGGCTTCATTTTATTATAGCTGGTGTTCCGGCTTGTTCGACCGAATCATATTAAATCGAGGTCAAAAAGTTGTTTTCACTACCATACATATCCAGAACTTATAATTTTAATTTTATATATCGCGTTCCCTATGTTCAGTAGTGGACTTGTGGAGGGCTATAATGAATAAAAACATCCCGTTCACTTCGCTTTCATCTCACACGTGTGTAGTATATGTCTGAGGACGATGGGAGAAGTGGCTTCCGTCCTTCACCTCAGGCCCCATAAGGAATGATGCCTACTTTAGATGATATTAGACGATATTAACACCGTTTTGTAATGTACATTGTACGTTTTGATTATACTGTTTTAATGTATGGATGTAAAATAAAGTGTATTTGATAAGACTAGTAAAATTTGTATATGTTTTGCTAATATAATCTTCATACATATCATATTCCATAATTAAATGTTTGAAATTGTAATATAAATAGTAATTATGTAATATATCGTCATTATCGTGTTATTATACGATATACATAGTGAAATAAATTCTCACTTTGTGTTATGAGTATACGCAGTTGATGCAAAATTATTTTATTAACTTTATTAAATAAGCTTTGAACAGTGAACCGAATTATTAAGAGATTATGTGAATGTTCAAAACTCAATATATTATGATGATATGCCAACATTGTATGCGTTGATTGTCGTCTACAATATCCCGTGGGACAATGCAGGTGTCGGGCCTCGGGTGTGCCCCCCATTGCCCGGATGTTCCTCATGGCCCATCACTATGGGCCAGTCCTTATAGCCTATTTAGGCATAATGTAGTAAATCCGGGTTTGTCCGTAATCGGTAGTGTTTTTCCCGTAGTTGGTTAATTACGGGAAAAAGAGAGGTTGTCCAATAAATGTCGAAGTTGGCCTTTCAGCGGCATTGTGGGTTGTTACTCGACTCTCTAATCACATATAGAGAGGAGTTCTCTTGGAAGAGGTCATTGTATGTCAACAATGATGTAAGCCGTAATATTTCAGCTAAACCGCATAGTGAGCCATAGTCCCTCGAATAAGGCGCTGTAAAGCGACCAAAACGTCAGAAAGCAAAAGTTAAAATAAACGCGATAAAATCAGTAAAATTATCTGGTTTTAATTCTATTAATATTTTTCAAAATTTAGGTCACAATATTTAACCCTTTAAACGGTTAAACATAGTTTTTGTAAAATAATGGCTGTTAATGTTATATAAACTGAGCATAATACTCTAATCAACTTTATAATTGACTCATTATTAAATGTAGACTATCACTAGTTATAACTTTGATAAATGGGTATAATGGCGATTTGTTGATAACCATACGTGTGAATTGTGTATAAAATATAATAAGTCTAAAAAAATATAACAATTTTGATGGACTGAATTTTAATACGATATTTTGTTAAAAAACGTAATCAAGATCTGTAAAATAGATTTAAATATGTCGCTCACCTGTTTATAAACAATAAAGATATAAAAGAATTATCCGGCTTAAAGGACCAGATTCAGATATGATCAGAAGATTAAATTTTAGGTGCTGGTAAACAATAGAAACTACTGCTCATCTTTTAGTAGGTCTACTACAGCTGTTTCTGGTTTCGAAAACAACAGAAGGTCGTTACATAAATATAGCTGTATATAGTAAATATGATAAAAAGGTGTGTTTATGATAATTCGTTCAAGACAATTAATATATAAAGCAGTGTAAATGTTGTGTCCTTTGAATGTGTTAATAATTATATATAATAAATATTTACTCAACTTCTGTATCTGTACATAGATCATGTAATAATCTCTGTCAATTATGTAATAACTTCGAAATAAGTCACTGAAGCAACGAGTAGTAGGACCGGCCTAATAGTTAATGAATATCGAAGATCCTTCGACATTTAACTTTAATTCTAGTTTCTAATTATCTTATAAATTATTCAATATTTACATTAATATTTACCACACTGGTATATAGAGGGTTATAAAATATAACTTGTTTAGAATAAACGCCTAATTTTATTTAAAATCTGTTAATATATACATATATAATTAAATTATATTTCGGCCTCATATTTTATTTTGTGGTAAATAATAATGTCTACTTAACATTAAGTATAAAAATAATAAGGATTATTTATTACTGAGTGATTAATGTTGCTTGGGGATATTTAAAACAGTTAATAAAACTGACCAAGACAGTGTTGCTTTCGTATAAATAGGGTTCTGTAGTAAATTACAAAGAGAAAGAAATCAGAGATCATCTAAGTTAAAATAACACAATCGTCCACTTGTAAATTTACTTACAAAATTAAAATATGGACGCAATACAATAAGAGTGTCATTGGACAATTAAACTGTTTATAACAGGTTTTGTTAATATTTGTTCATCCCAAGTCTAAATCGATTCAACTATGCTACAGCTAAGGGCAGGAGTACGCGCTTACAGTATACTATGGAGTTCTATTTTTAAATAAATTTGCTTTTTAGAAACATATAATACGGGTGCGTTCCATTTTTAAATTTCGAGCATCTCAAAACTTATTGATTGACCTACGTACTAAAAACATTATTAAATTTTTAATCGAATAAAACGATGTACGGTGACGTAAATAGCAATATAATGCTTCACTGTGTCATTTGTTACTGGCCCTATTGCGTTAATTAACCCAGTTGAGGTTGAATGATTATGGTTGAGTTCAAAATAATTTTAGTTATCTTTAAAAAATCCGTTTTGGTAATAATATGAAAATTTCATGTTTTTTTTAGCTTAATTTTGGCTTTTGATCCGTTTCCACAGAATGGTTAGACAGTTATCATAAAGAAATTTATACGTTTACTATTCATTGGCTGCGGAATCCTGAAATTATAAATATCCGTAAATATTTGTATCTCTTAGTTTAAAGAAACAGCTTTAATCTGATTTAGGTTAATCTTGCCACGGATAACATATACTGATATAATAAAATTCGATTTAAAAAATTGAATGTTATTGTACATAATAACAACTTTCTTTTGTTTTATATCTACAGTCACTTATTAATTGAGCACACAAAAAAAACTGAATTAATTTTGAACAATAAATATAAAACATACATCATACATAATATGTATTTATATCTAATAATTCGCTAACATAATGTAAGTTAATTCTCATTAGCATCTATCTTTCTTTATCTCATAATAGTGACTAGGTACTTTATACTGTAAATAA